TACAAACTGTTGGCAAATACTGGGCATGCACTGGCTCCTGAAGGTATCTGAACCTGCTACAGTATTGGTCAAGTCTGGCCTTGAAAGAACTCACGCCCAGTGCCGTCAAAACAACTCTCTGGCATGGCAGATTGTTCCAAGAGTTCACAGTTCTCACTCCGGAAAAGTTTGCCCTCGCAGTTTTATGGACGTGTGGTTTCTTCAACCTTGAGCTGCCACAGCTCAAGGTTGTGGGGCGGGCGTCCGCCAGCTTCATGTACGGGACACTTGACTGAGTAGTGCCCTCTGACATGCTTATACAGTACTTCAATTAGGTCACCCCTTGCCCGTCTGTAGTTTAAGCTAGGCATTTGCAGGCATTAGAATATCTCTGTATATTCCTCAACTGTATATGTATTAACCCCTGGCTAACAGTAAGAAATATTTATTTAAATAAGGTCTGCATACATTATTTTTATATAATTACAGCACCCACGGTAATTAAACTATGAGCAAGTGTATAGAAAACACTGTCTAGTAAATACTGAAGCAGGTGATGGAGATGTTCGGGGTACTTGGTTCTAACTACAGGAGCGAGCATAAACACCTGTAGAGTTCTATAGGTTCTTATTAACGGAAATATACAGGGGTGCGCTTACAAGCGCAGGTAGTCCTTACACTCCTATAGGGTCAACTGGCCTCACTCTGACCTCTCGGGCGACATGTGGTAAGTGGTATACTAGCAGCTTCCAGATGTCGCCAGGCACATTTATCTAAGCGTGTGGTGACATGAAACAGGGGCATTGCCACACGCTACTGACTAGAGAAATAATGTGTATATATAGAGTACATACATGGTATACATACAACATACATAATATACATACACCTCCCCTCCCCCCGCTATACGCTCATAGCAAAGTCGAGTGGATCCGTTCTGAGCGTCGAATTAATCACTGGGGGGGTGTGGGACTCAGCACTGGTGACGGGGTCAGCGGCATGGGATGCGTTACGGGGCGGAGGAAACGGCGGTTCCTCCACCACACCCGACCGCTGGGTAACCGCACCTGGTAGTCCCGTGACCTGCCGAGACCCATGACTAAGCCCACTTTGTCCCAACGTAGGGAGGTCGGGTCCTGGACACGGACTTGGGTGCCGACACTCAACCTGGGGAGAGGACGGGCGTGGTCGTTGTGGCGGGCGACGACGTCTTGAATACGTTCGGCGGCTCGGCGATCACAATCCTCTGTCTTGGCCTGCCACTCCTTGGAGAAGGATTGAGGGTTAGCAGGGACACAAGAACGGAGGGGGCGTCCATACAAGACCTGGGCAGGGGAGCGTCCGGTGTAATTGGGTGTGTTGCGGAGCTCAAGGAGACCCTGGTCGAAGGCCTCGCAGTCAATATTCCCAGAAGGGGCCACTTTGAGGATGAGGTGCTTCAGGGATTTGACAGCAGCCTCAGCGTGGCCGTTGGACTGCGGGTAATGAGGCGGTGACAACACATGCCGGACTCCCCATCGGTCGAGGAACGCAGCAACGTCCCGGCTTGTGAACTGGGGCCCTCCGTTGGTTCGCAGGCGTACAGGAACGCCCACGTAACGGAAGTAGTGGCGGAACTTGCTGATGGTGGCGGCAGATGTCGTATCATTACCGCACTTGATGACAACCGGCCAACCAGACAGACGGTCGACGATAACCAGGAAGGACTCTCCTGACACACAGAAAAAGTCGGCCGACACAGACTCAAAGGGGCGGGTGGGGTTGTCGTCACTCATGAAGGGTTCCTGCTGCTGGCTGGGTTGTAGTACTTGGCGGGGCTTACACGCCTGGACAGCATTGGAGATATCGGGGTCGATGCCAGGCCGGAACACAGTCTGTCTTGCACGCCGTTTGGTGGCCTCGGCTCCACAGTGACTGTCGTGGAGGCGAGCCAAGGCGTGGAGACTTGAAGCAGCAGGAACAACTACTGTAGGAGAGGTGTCACTAGCCAGAGGTAGGTGTAGGGCGGCAGCAGGGTAGTTGCTGCTCCCTTCGTGCACCCTGTTGGCGTATTTTACCTCGAGAATCGGTGTTGGGAAGTCCTGGGAGATGATGGCCAACTCTTGACAATGTCTGTAGGACAGCAAAGGAGTCGGGACACCATTATGCACGTCAATCCAGGCTTGACACGACCTGTTGCCAAAGGTGACATGTGCATTGAGTGACCCTAGGGCTGGGGCCATCTGTGAACCATCTGCCGTGACGCAGAGGTCCTTGGGAGGCGGTCCTAGATCGCTTGGAGAGAGCCCCAAGCATTGCAAATGCTGGGGACCGATGACCGTAGCCTCAGCGCCGGTGTCGGGCAGCATCTCGAGACAGGATGACACACTGCCGTAGGTCACGATGATGCTGACGTGCTGGGGAACTTTGGTCCTGGGATGCGAGGAGTACACCCTCCTAATATGGGTCGGGCTTTGTCCAGGGTCGTCGTGCCTTTGATTTGGCGACTGTGGGCGGCCCTCACTGGTGGAAGGGCGCTGCTGCTTCCGCCGACCACACACATTGCACTGGACGCATTTGGCTGGGCACCGTACTGTAAGTGACCAGTGGCCCTTGCGGTCACAGCTGTCGCAGGTAGACTCAGCAGCTGGACATACCTGTGTTCCGTGCTGCCTACCACAGCTGTTGCAAAGGGAGCCGGGCGTGGGCGTGGTGGGCGTAGGCGTTGGGGCAGACTTCTTGTCTTTCTTGTATTGGGACATAGCCCCTACGGCTGTAAGGGGAGCTCGGATGGCAGAGGTAGCACAACTGGCAGCCTCATAGGAGCGACATACTGTCAATACAGCCTTAAGAGAGGAGGAAGAGTCGAGGGAGGTGAGGCGTTGGACAAGCTCCTCGTCCTTAATACCCATCAGGATCACCTGCTTCAACTGGGTCTCCTCGCACTGCTGGTGATTACCGGGACATATGTCTATCTCTTCCGAGGCTCACTTGAGTCGTACATGGAAATCGTCAAAAGTCTCGCCCTCCATCTGTCTACAGCTAAACACTTCCCTCCTGCGGAGAGCTTCATTCCGCTGACCTTTGATGTGCCGTTCTAGAACATCCAGTACCTCCTCTACAGACAACAAAGACGTCGGGGGCACTTGCAACTTGTGTTCCAACACATGCTGTGTTCCCAAAGATAGACACATACGTAGCTGAATGAGCTGTTTAGGCTGTGGCAAGCTCTGGAGATCCACCATTGTGTAGCATAATCAGTCCACCGTCGCCGCCACTCACGAAAATTCTGGAAAGTCTCATCAGGCTTCAAGGTGGGTGGGGGTTGGACAACCACTTTGGTAGAGGGCATTGACGAGGTATCTGAGCCAGTCGGTACCGGAGTAGTGGAAGGGCCAAGGGCTTGATTAGCAATGAGGCTAGATATCAAAGATGCAAACCGTTCGTTATCTTCCAATCTCCGTTGGTGGTCCTCAGCATGTCTTTTCGCTTCGTCCTGACGCATTTCCTCCCTCATAAGCTTCATCAGAGCAATTATCTCTGAGGACGAGGCTGAGGGTCGGGGGGGTGTGGCTGGGAGAGGGTGGGGCGTCGCGCACTGACTGGTCATCCATCTCTGTAGAGCTGTCATCCGTCTGAATCATCGTGGCGCTAGGGACACCGCTGCTTGAGGCTCGGGGCATAATTATTTTATCTGTATATTGTGTCTCGAAGCAGTGTTGACTGGTCAGCCCGTCGTATCAACCAGATCTGAGACAACAAAATTAATTGAATACACAGATAAGTAACTTATATATATATATATATATATATATATATATATATATATATATATATATATATATATATATATATATATATATATATATATATATGAAGAAATGACCGCGGTCAGTGTGTTAGTGCGTGGGTTGGTGTGTGTAGGCGCGGTGGAGCGCGGAGGCAGGCGAGGCGAGGCGGTGGGGGGTGAGCAGTGGGGGTAGTTACCCTCCAGGCAGCCCGGGACGGTCGCGCTGACTCTTCACGAATGCCCTATATCAGCCTTCCACCTTAGGGAATCCTTTAAAACAAGGACACACACTTTAACAATACACACACACGAGGGGCACTTAAAGACACTTCACAGGAAATTGCGGTCACTGCACACTGCTCAAAACTCGTTGGCAATTCAAACGAATTTTTGTGGGAGACAATGGCGACGGATGACGGAGTTGACGGAGGAGGTCTACCGGCCTTGATTTTACATGAACGCACTTATTTCCACTTAATCGATCACTTGATACTCACTGCGCCATGGAGATGTTCGGGGTACTTGGTTCTAACTACAGGAGCGAACATAAACACCTGTAGAGTTCTGTAGGTTCTTATTAACGGAAATATACAGGGGTGCGCTTACAAGCGCAGGTAGTCCTTACACTCCTATAGCGTCAACTGACCTCACTCTGACCTCTCGGGCGACATGTGGTAAGTGGTATACTAGCAGCTTCCAGATGTCGCCAGGCACATTTATCTAAGCATGTGGTGACATAAAACAGGGGCATTGCCACACGCTACTGACTAGAGAAATAATGTGTATATATAGAGTACATACATGGTATACATACATCATACATAATATACATACAGGTGACAATATGTCACTTAACTTCAATGTCTTTCAAATGACCTATGCGCACCACTGTCTAGCTGAGGTCAACAAATAAGCAGCCGGTTACTCTGAGTCAACCCTAGTCTCTCATATACACCACATGTGTGTTAACAAAGCTCCCTACAACTTGCTTCAAACTATACTAACAGTCATTGCTCATAGCTTTAGTTATGGTGATATCATACATTAATTGTGTATTGAATATTTTCTTAATAAAAAGAGAAAAGTCAATCTGGGTTTAAAGATTTTACTCAGAAACAATTATTTGTGTACTACTGTGTGACCAATCCACCAGATCTTCTAGCAAACATTTCACAAGGAACATAGAGGTATACATATAGATCTAAGACACAATAAGGTAAAAATCATACAACCAATAGAAAATTCTACAAACCTTTCCTTTGGTGGCTTGGATTATCTCACTGAGGTCCTCTTCCTTCAGGTGGGAAATTATATCCCAGTTCATGAGCTCCAGGGAAAACTTGGTCATTACCTGCATCTGAAGAAAGAGAAAGAAAATCAATGGAAGAAACCTTAGTGAATTGTTCATGTAACCTTTTTCCACTATTGTGTGATTCATTCCAAATATCTGTACTGTACAGAGTACTATGATATCTCTGTTTTTCTGGAGTCTTCAGACAGTTAATTAAATGACCCCAAAGGTTTCTCATTTCTGCTTTCTTTAATTTCTCTCTTTAATTACTGAGGTTTATACGGATAGAAAGGTATGCCTAAATCATATTCCTTTAAATTCTATTCAGACTATGCTGACGTTTTCATTTTTATGCCCAACACTCCTCCCAGCTTAAGTGTCCTAATCTATCTACATCTACCACCTATGGAATTTTAAAGTAAAGTAGTGTACTGTACTGTAGACTTTTATACTTTTATCCGCTTTGCCACTGATCAGCTCTTTAGCCACTTGGCAAGTACTGGCTCCAGAATGTATCTGCACCTGCGCCAGTATTGGTCAAGTCTGGTCTTAAATGAGTACACACTTGGTGCCATAACAACATTCTCTGGCAGATTGTTCCAAGAGTTGACGATTTTCGCTCCGAAAAAGTCTGCCCTGAAAATTTTTCCAAACTTGTGGCTTCTTCAACCTTGAGCAGTGACCCCAAGTGGGGTATGAATACTCGATTGAGTAATGCCCCTTTGAGTTGTTTATAAACTTCAATTAGGTCGCCCCTTGCCCACTTATAGTATAAGCTAGGCAACTGCAGGCATTCTAATCTCTCTGGATAACTGAGGTGCCATTGTGAAGGCACCAGTCTGGTGGCCCTCCTTTGGACATTTTCAATCAATTGACAGTCTCTAGCATATCTCAGGGACCAGATGGGGTGACAGTACTCCAAATGGGAAACACCTCACTCTTGAAGATTGTTATGAGGGACGGACCATCTAGATATCAGAAAGACCTTCTGAAAAGACGTTCTGGCTTAGTTGCTTGATTTACCTTCTTCTCACCATGGTCCGAGAACTTTAGTTTACTGTCAACATACACACCAGGGTTCTTTTCACATTCAGTCTCTCTTAATGCTGTTTCTTTGTTCTATTGGGACATGTGATACGTCTCCTTACTGAATCTTACACTGAATCTTAACAGCCATTTCTTCGACCACTCTTGAAGGTGACAGATATTTCTATAGCTGTTCACAGTTCATTTGGTTCTTAATTTCCCTGAAAATACTTGGCATTGTCTACAAACATTTGTATGGAGGAATGTACAGCTTCTGGCATGTCATTTATGAAACAAACAAACAACAAGGGGCCCAGTACACTTTCCTGTGGAATCCCACCTGTCACGGGTACACATAACAATTTCATGCCATTAATCACCAAACATTGATCAGGTAGTACACTATACCCTTGTTAATTTAACAAAAAGGGTGCTCTGGGTCACTCGAGTTGCTGAAAAATCCAAATTAACCAAGTGCGGTATTTTTTAACATTATTCAACAATTTCCAAATTTTTGTGTTTGATGAGTCGTTCGTTTTGTTCAGTTTTTGCTCCATGCCTTGGCTGCCACCTAAAATAATCTATTAATAATTATTGTGCAAGCATGAGTATTTTCTAAATGTACGTAAAGCAATAATAAAGTGTAGGATGTAACGGTACGAGATGTTTTCCCCAGGTCACTGGCGGCAACGAGTACCAGGCGTCACCAGTCTCTGGAGACAGTTGCTGTCTGGTTATCACACAATAAAGAAGGAGACTGATACTAGTGTTTCTGTGCCCCACCGAAACAACCAACATAGCGCAGTGAGAATTCTTCATGGAGCCTACGCCCTTACATGATGACACCCCCCCAGCAGGCCCACCCACGCTACACCCAGGGCCCGCTGGACCCCTGCTGCTGTGATACCTCGCTGCCTTGTAACTTCCATGGCCCAGGCTCAGGCAGTTATGCCGGCCCAACAACAGGCAATCCAGTCCCTCCAAGCCAACCTCGCTACTGTCAATCTCCGAGGACATGGAGCATCATCACCACACGTCCCCACCTCTGCGGCCCCAGAGAAGTGTGACATGAAGATGTCATCTGTTGCCTTCAGGTCCTGGAGGCGCTCAATGGTGTATTGGTTACAGCTCTGCAGGCCGTCCACCACGTCAGGCTCAACTGTGTTCCTGCTCTTCCTGACACAGCCCTGAACGTCATTAGTGTTCCATTCATCAAACTAGGCACTGCAGTGATCCGATTTTGCTTAGTGTAGTACAGGGCCAAGATGAGCCCATCAGTGATTATTTCATTTGATGTTCTCAAAAAACTGCAGACTGTGATTTCAAGTGCCCTAATTGTGCCCACAATCTGTCAGAGTACACAAGAACATTAGAACATAAGATTCATCCATGAATCTATCTAGCCTCCTTTTAAAACTTTCCAGCATTCCAGCACTTACTACAAAGTTGCTAAGCTTGTTCCACTCGTCTATTACCCTATTTGTGAACCAGTTCCTTCCTATCTCCCTCCTAAACCTAAACTTATCCAACTTAAATCCGTTGCTTCGAGTCCTATCCTGCTCGGATATTATAAGAACTTTATCTATAACTCCTTTATTGATTCCTTTCACCCACTTAAATGGTTCTATCATATCTCCCCGCACTCTTCATCTTATAGGGAATGCAAGTTTAGTTTCTTTAATCTATCTTGATATGGAAGGTTTCTAAGTCCCGGAATCATTTTCGTCATTCTTTGCTGCACCGACTCCAGTGAATTGATATCCATTCTATAATAAGGGCACCATAACTAAACAGCATAATCGAGGTGCGGCCTGAAAAGCGCAAGATATAATTGCAATATGACTCCGCACTCTTATTACTTACACTTCTTGATATAAAACCCAATACCCTGTTTGCCTTATTTCGAACATGAACACACTGTTTTCTAGGCCGTAAACTCATGGTAGGCAACAGTGATAAAGTATTGAAAAGGCAGGTGTTTCAAACATATGACTCATTCTCGAGTGTTGAAACCCATAGGGCTTCGTGTTGCACATTTGAGGCTGTGGGGCAGGATGCTGCAGGCGTGAGATTTTGGCAGGAGTTCCCTTGCATGGTTTGTGCGGCTCCCATGGATGATGTAACCCCTGAAGTTGCTGCCGCCCTCCAGAGCGTCCCTGCCATACCCCCAGCGCACACCCCTGCGGAAATTGTGGAAGCCTCCATGCACCTGACTGGGCATCAAGTCCGGCCAGATCTGTTATCTGCCACTTCTGCCAGAAGACCAAACACCTGAAATGGGGTTGCAGGAGCATGAAGGCATATGCAGGTGGCCAAGCAGCTTCAGCCACACCCTCCCCGGATGTCACCCGAGTGTCTGGTGCATTGGTCATAGCCGACACCCACTTGTTCTGACCTCACTCAGTTGTCTTCTGACCTCACTAGAGGAAAGGTCACGGCAGGCTTAGCTCCCGGGGATTAATTGTCAGCAATGGCTAGTGCTACTTGTGAACAGGGCTGTGCCCTTCTGAGAGCCGAATTAGAGAGGGCCAAGGAAGAAATCTTTAAATTAAAGGAAGTGATAGCGAGGATGAAGGAAGAAACGAGACAAGGAAAGCCCGTGTCTGACAAAAACTCAGGCGAATGGAAGATTGTGAGGAGAGGGACGACCAAACTGATGGTGAAAAAACACACCAAGGATATGACAACAATAGCTAAGTGTACCAACTCTTTCAGTCCTTTGATAGACGAATTGGACGTTAGCATAGTTAGGGACAAGGCTGACAAGGAAGGTAAACAAAACTTAATTATTGGAGATTCCCAGGTACGGTACCTGGACAGAGCTTTTTGTGGTAAAAATGAAAATAGGATGAGGGTGTGTTGGCCAGGAGCTGGGGTGTGGGATACAGTTGACAGGGTGGACAATATCTTGTCTGGTAATGGGAACAAACCCATTATCTGTCTCAGTGCAGGAGGCAATGATATTGGCCGGTATAGGAGTGAGGAGCTTCTTGATAAGTACAAGACAGCTATAGAACGTATTAGGTCGAAGGGAGGGATCCCTATCATATGTGGTATCCTGCCTAGGACAGTTGGCAATGAATGGTTGTCAAGGGCAGTTGGTGTCAATGGCCGTCTTGACAGATATTGCAAGTCAATATCATTCCCATTCAGTGACAACTGGGACAACTTTTACAGCAGAAGGGACCTTTATGCTAGGGATAGGGTGCATCTGTCTAGGGATGGGTTGGCAACCCTGGCTGACTCTCTGGAGAGGGCTGTTCAAAAGATGTCGAAGTCCTTAAACTGCTAGGAGAATATATGAGCAAGGGGGTGGAGGAGATTACAGTGGGAGCTGGTAAACAAAGTGAAAGTTTACAGGGAAATAGTGCTAGGAATGATGACAAAACTAAATTAGGCAAGGAGTTAAAAACCTAAACGCGACAAAGAGAGGAATCAGAACACGACTAACTTTAACATCTACTAGGCAAACAGTAGAAGTATGAGAAACAAAATGGATGAAATCAGGGCGTTGGTATGTACCAAAAAACCCGATATAATAGCATTCACCGAAACATGGATAAACCTAGACTCACGTGAGTTACTTGTCGAATACCAAATTGCAGGTTACAAATTATTCCATACCGATAGGCAGATTAGGAAAGGAGGCGGAGTAGCAATCTATGTCAGGGATAATCTGAAGTGTGAAATAAATAAGGAAATAAAAACTGAGCGGCATAGAGAAACAATTTGGATAGAATTAATCGATGGTTGGGAAAAATTAATCACAGGAGTAATATATAGACCTCCTAATCTTGATAGAGTTAGTGGGTGACTTATTTGGGATGAAATGTGCAGGGCTTCCATACATAGGAAAGTCTATATAGTAGGCGACTTTAACTTTAGCCAAATAGATTGGATTGACCTTACGGGTAACTGAGAATCAGAGGATTTTCTTGAAACAATCCAGGACTGTTTCCTAAGCCAACATATAACCGAACCCACCCGGGGTAATAATATACTCGATTTAGATCTGTCAAACAGATATTCCAATTAAAATTTCAGGGCAGCCGCAAGGAAAATTCCA